AATATTAAGATTGTTGTCGTGTGGAAAGAGCCTTGTTAGGATGTGCGTTCTAGAATAAATTGGGAATAAAATAAATAAATAACCTATTTCTTTGGGAGGGATTGTCCTTCTTAGATACTTTCTGCAAACAAATTGAGGAGTAAATATATTGAGAACTTTGTTTCGTTGTGATGGATTTACTAAGGCACCTTATCCATGAGGAAATCTATGTCAGAACATATCCAGAACAAAATATTTTTCAGAAGAAATCCAGAACAATGTTGCAGGAAAAAGGCTCAACAAGGACAGTTCTCCAAGACAATCTAGAGAACAAAGGACATGGGGAACAGTGTTACCTGGAAAGAGTTTATTAGGACATGGAGAACAGTGTTACCTGGAAAGAGTTTATTAGGACATGGAGAACAGTGTTACCTGGAAAGAGTTTATTAGGACATGGAGAACAGTGTTACCTGGAAAGAGTTTATTTAGACATGGAGAACAGTGTTACCTGGAAAGAGTTTATTAGGACATGGAGAACAGTGTTACCTGGAAAGAGTTTATTAGGACATGGAGAACAGTGTTACCTGGAAAGAGTTTATTAGGACATGGAGAACAGTGTTACCTGGAAAGAGTTTATTAGGACATGGAGAACAGTGTTACCTGGAAAGAGTTTATTAGGACATGGAGAACAGTGTTACCTGGAAAGAGTTTATTAGGACATGGAGAACAGTGTTACCTGGAAAGAGTTTATTAGGACATGGAGAACAGTGTTACCTGGAAAGAGTTTATTAGGACATGGAGAACAGTGTTACCTGGAAAGAGTTTATTTAGACAAGAGCCTCAATAAGATTATGTTTCCAGGATAAACCGCTGACTAAAATAAATCCCCCAATATTGGTTTATGGAAAGGACTGTTCTAGGATATTAGTTCCAGGACAGACAGCAGAGCAAAAGAAATACAGAACATTGCTGCCGGGCAAGAAGTGACCTGATGACTACGTTTCCTCCAGGACGGTCTAGGGAGCCAAAAAAAATTCGAGTAATTGTTGCAGGAAGGCCGTTGTGCTCCCCGGAACGCTGCCCTGAGGGTGGAGGATGTCGTGAGTTGCAGTCGCCACCGCCGCTGAGGAAGGGCAGTGAAGGACCTTGACGATTCTTCTGGGAATCTTGCACTGGGTGGGAGGAGGGGATGACGGAGCCGTGGTCGGTGCTGGTTGAAGACATCTGTGACATAGACACCAATTGTTGATGTAACTGAGTCCAATAGTATGCTCCTCCCTGACTGCTGCTGGGGGTGAACAATTACCACACTTATTGTTGATTTACCTGCTTACATCAAATTGTTTCACCACTACATGACCCTGCCTGACCCTGCCTGACCCTGCCTGACCCTGCTTCTGATGCGTTTGATCCCGTTTCGTGTCGTTTATTACACCAGCCTGTTCCTCCACCACTGTTGCTCACGCTATCAACAACCTCTTGGAAGTATATGAAAAAGACAGGTCCCACGCACTGTATTTCACACATATCATGCTGGCCTTTTCTACCTTTAATGTAGCCGTGGTCACTACGTCAAACACAAAGCAGTAAACGGAGGAGTGAGAGAACCCATCTATTAAACAGAAAAGCGCCCGAATACACAGGTAAACAGAGCTCTAAGACCCTGACAAGAACAGCGTATAATAACACACACGGTCCATTACGTCTTTTGGGAGCCAAGGTTATCAACAACACAACACCGTTCCTACCCACTGCCCTCCATCACACATCCTACCTAACCTAACCTAACCTATCCACTCCCAACTAAACCATTTTCACCCCTTGTCATTTCCTCCACTTCTTTCGTATTTTATTCTAGTCTTCCTCCATTTGTATCAGCTTGTGTTCCCAGTTCACTATTCTGATCCTCTTCTTCAGATTATCTCCAACCTCTTACTCCTCTCTTTTATCATCCTCTTCTTTCTTCGCTTCTTCCTTCTCCCAAAGTGCTCCTCCTCTCCTCCTCCTCTGCCGTTCCCACAATCCCACCGCTGCCACCAACACCCTGGTCCCCGCGGCCCACCTTATGTCAACACAGTGAAAACATACGTCAACACCGCCTGACCCTCGGGGCGTGTGACGGGCGTTCCCCAAGACAAGACATAACCCATCTACCACCAACCCTAACTCAAGGATGTGGCCTTCACATGATGAGTCTGATTCGATGGATTGTGTCGGGGGAATATATGAATGTAGAATCGTTATCTGAAGGAGTCTTATTCCGGTTCTACTGCCGATAAGATCATTCTCTAAACGAATCTGTCTTGGTGACTGATGGATTTGGAAACAATCTATGCTTGTAGAATCACAATATTGAGGATGCCCATCAAGGGGTAATTGTCTGAAGGATCCCTGGCTTTAAAATCCCTACAAAGAGGATTTTGTAAAATCAATCTCCTAACTAAACTTTAGTGGGAGGATCCCCTTAGTGATCCTTGCCAAAAGGATCAGTGTTGGAAGGATCCCCGGCTGATGAATCTGGTCCTAGGATCAGGCGTGCTGGGGGCCTGGTAGGAGCTGTGTCATGCTTTTTTTAAGACTCATGAACAAACACTCGAGCGTGGTAAGAGTACACATCCTGACGACACCGGCGGCGCCACCATCACCACAACACACCTTTACTGTACAAGTTGGCTACACGTTGTGTCTCTACCTGTATCGTAGACTGTTTCAACGCAAATAAGCTGTTGTAATGTGTACACGATACACCTCGTGCAAGACCCAGAACTTTGTGGGTGATTTAGCTGTGTTGAGTGGTGACTGGAGCTCATTAAAGCTTGTATATGAGGCCTCGGGGTTGGCACACAAACAGTTTCCAGAGGGGAAAAAAATTCCACCCAAATTATATACTTGGTAAAATTTCATCAGCTCCCAGATCCTTAAATATTGTGCAAGGTGAAGTATTGTGTTGGAGACTTTGTCCTTCTTAATTTATTGATATTAGTTACACAATATGTAAGCAAACGTGTCTTGTAATGACACAGGGGCCATTACGACTTGTGGGAACCAAGGTCTTCAATAACACAATACCTATACCTAACCCGGGTACGATTCCTGACTAGTGAGGTATTGTTTATGACCTAACTACTAACTATAAGATACGCAGCTAATTTAATATAGATATATCATTCCTGGGGTAACATAAAGCCTATCACAGCCAGGATAAGGCAGAAAAGGCGAAACTTGTCAGCACCCGAGAGACTGACTCCACAAGTAGTGAGTCAGGTATTAAGACTCCACCTGTTGGTTAATGACATGAGTGTTAACTTGGGGTGAGTCACCAACACTGACGAAGAGGGAAACTCTAGATTAATGGTTGACTTACTGGAACTGGGTGACGTGTGGCGCTAAGGAACCATCAGCCTGTATCATTCCGCCGCTGGTTGAAGGCCTCCCTGGTCTTGTGTCTTCCCTGTCTTGTTTCCATATACTGGGGCGGGTCTCTGCCGGGTCTTATAGCGTGGGATGCAGTCGAGGACGTCTTTGGTCCCCGGTTGATCTTTGTTCTTGTAATATGATTTGACCCTTGTCACAGGGGGGGGGGGGCCTCTGTGTTCTCTTGTGTCTCGCGTGTTTTTGTTGTGTATGTCTGTAAGGGTAATTATTAACTCAGTACAGGATATGTCTTTTCACCCTCCCCTGATGGACTTGGATAATTATATGAATAATAATAACACTGCAGTTATATATACACACTTACACAACACAGAGACAAAGGGAAATAAACAATAAATAAAGAAAGAATAACAACAATTATAGTTATTTATGAAGCCATGACAACAGGTGCTGGACATCCGGAACTATGAGTCGTCACCCAGGGAAGCTTCTTCACCCAAAATGACTCCAATTTCCGAGGTGCGCCCAACGAGGAGGTCCTGTGGTTGAGCCTAGCGTAGATAATGTACAGGAGGTGATAAAGCAAGCGGGACAAATGTGAAGGAAGACATGTGTGACTCAGAGAGAAAACGGGACAATGTGTGGGTTGGTTCACATGAGGTGGGCCACACTGTCCTCTTCATCTGTTCCTCCTACTGTCTTTCTTTATTCTTTATTATTTATCCTCTCATTATACGATGTTAGGATAGACGTCGGGGAGTGTCAAAGAGACGAGGATAGTACGGGATAGTTAGGGTAGGAGGAAATATCACAACATATGGCATCGTGAACGGGTGTCGGCGGATCCTTGGCTCGGTTATGTTGTTGTCCTTGAAGACTGAACCTGGTGCCTCTCCCACACGCGGCGGAGGGAGTGTCGCATGACGGCATTATCCTCTACTACTATTATTACCATTATCCTCGCTCCTTTACACGCTCCCATTAACCTCCTCCATGTGTGTGTACCTCGTAATGGTGTGAATATCCACATATACCTCAGCTAAGGATGGTGTTAGTGGTGTGAGAGTAATACCAGCACATGGGGACAACTTGGCACTGTGTTCGCCATCCATCCCGCTAGACTTGTCCGGCTGCCTCAAGGAGTATTAATCCAATCTTTAAATCCAGCCTCCGTGGATTACCGCTACTAATCCCAACTACAGGCAGACAATAGACTCACACACACACACCATCATTCTTCCGTAACGTAACTTAAAATATTATATAACAGTCCAGATTATCTGTGTATTAAGAATTCAGTTTAATTAGTATTTTTATGTTGACAACCGTACAAGGCGATGGACCGCTATTCCACCGTCTGAGCCAGCAGGAGCCACACGCCCCTCCACACACACACATTATCGTGCACCCGGCAACACTGGTCAAGGTTGAATTATTAAAGATCGTTTGTGAGGAATTGATTGACATAATTGAGTCTGTTTTTGTTCTTTGTTTCGCTCTGAAGGACTTGTTGATAAATGGTAGTTACTGACAAATAATGAATGAAATTAATAGATACAATTATTATTATTATTATCATTATTATTATTATTATTATATTTTACCATGATCAACTTTCTAACAATCCTCCTCTCTCGTCTTTACAGGTTTCTGCTCAATTGAACTTAGGACAAGGACTTCAAAGAGAGATATTTTTCCTGAACCTCGAAGACGGATATTTTGGGTGTCAGGTAAACGAATCAACAGAGGTGCTTCAGCTGTTCGAAGTATCCAAACTCTGTGACGGTATACCCAACTGCTTCCTGGCTTCCGACGAGAACTTCAATGAGTTAAAATGCACCAGTAAGTTCTTGTCTTATTTTCATTGAATTTATTGTAAATGCACCAATAATGTCTGTGTCTGTGTTAATAATTTCACTTTTGCTTATATTGACAAAACGATCTAATATTTAAATCTCAGTTACTAGTTTAATTAATGTTTTTTTTTTATTTACTCGTGAATTAAAATTGATCTCATATAAGTGTATAGTAATGTATACAGTCATACATAAAGACTGTATTATCCCATTATATTATATACACACTTTCGGTAATGTTACACGTCTCTTATGTGAAGATAAAAAAGTTGACCAATATATCGACGAATAACACGGAGTCACGAAATTTGCTTGATATGTCAGTCAGTCAGTCAGTCAGCCAAGTCAGTCAGTTAGTCAGCCAAGTCAGTCAGTTAGTCAGTCTTCATATCTGAGGGTTGGCGACCACAGTCCTCCACACTAAATGTTCCCCGGCTGGGTTTTTTTGCTAATCCTCTCAGGTTTTTGTATCTCACTTGATTTACATAATGTACACTAAATATATATCTTTAAACGTTATATAGCAGCTTCAGGTAGACCAGGTGTTGCTTCAGGTAGACCAGGTGTTGCTTCAGGTAGACCAGGTGTTGCTTCAGGTAGACCAGGTGTTGCTTCAGGTAGACCAGGTGTTGCTTCAGGTAGACCAGGTGTTGCTTCAGGTAGACCAGGTGTTGCTTCAGGTAGACCAGGTGTTGCTTTACGTTGATTTTATTTAAACATTTGAAGGACGAGTTTTGTTAAGCGTGATGGTGTGAAGTACCTTATTCAGTTCTTCGCTGTATACATCCTAACTTAATGCTAAGGAGTTTTTACATTAATTAGTATTTTGTTTTAGTCTTTTATACACTTTTTCATCTTATTTTTTTCCCCATTATAGAAAATTGATCGATAAGGCCGAGTTGAGTATTAAAATTATGTAAATAAATAATCAATTTCATAACTATTTTAATCGCTATTCTGTATTTTTCTAATCGTAAAAAAAATAAATAATAAAAGTCCTTATTGAGAAATCTTTCAATAAATCCGGGTCGAGAACAAGACACCCCCCCCCCCCTCGTCTTGGCCTCAACACGTCACATTATTCACAAAATCTCTCTCTGTTTCCCCTCCAGGGCTCAGGCAAAATCTCTTAGGGGTAATTTCTATCAGCAGTTTTTCCCTCTCTCTCTCTCTCTCCTCTGCTTTGTCCGCCGTCCGAGGAATACCAAAGACGACAATTGAGGGTGGTTGAGGGCAATTGCGTTAAAAAAAAGAAAAAGAAAGAAAGAAACTGAGGCGGTAAATGACCCTAGGAAAAGTTGATGCTCTCAAGGTTCTCTGTGTTGCCTGTGTGTGTGTGTGTGTGTGTGTGTGTGTGTGTGTGTGTGTGTGTGTGTGTGTGTGTGTGTGTGTGTGGGTGTGTGTGTGTGTGTGTGTGATATTATTTTAAGATTGGACAAAATCTCACAGGCGACACCTTTCCTCTGGTAACAAAATGTAGCTTGGCAAACGCACTGGACAAAATTAGCCACCGGACAAAATCTCACTCAAAGACAGTTTAGTTGTATTTGGGACATACATACATACATACATACATACATACATACATACATACATACATACATACATACATAAACAAACAATTACACATACGCCCTCACACACACACACACACCATCATCATCATTATCATTATTACAAACTAAAAGGAAGTTTCTCTTTACATAAACACTGGAGCTAATTTTGTGAGATGAGGCAAATTTTTGGGTTCATGGGCCTCTCTCTCTCTCTCTCTCTCTCTCTCTCTCTCTCTCTCTCTCTCTCTCTCTCTCTCTCTCTCTCTCTCTCTCTCTCTCATATCCTAAAGCTATAATTTGTCATTTTTATTCATTTAATGGTGGGATTTTGTCCAAGGGGAAATATTTGAGGTGGGGTTGTGTCCTCTATATTATACTGCCGGTAATATTTTGTCCAATGCATTAAACCGGTAGTAGAGGGTTTTGTCCAATGCATTAAACCGGTAGTAGAGGGTTTTGTCCAATGCATTAAACCGGTAGTAGAGGGTTTTGACCAATGCATTAAACCGGTAGTAGAGGGTTTTGTCCAATGCATTAAACCGGTAGTAGAGGGTTTTGACCAATACATTAAACCGGTAGTAGAGGGTTTTGTCCAATGCATTAAACCGGTAGTAGAGGGTTTTGTCCACTACATTAAACCGGTAGTAGAGGGTTTTGTCCACTACATTAAACCGGTAGTAGAGGGTTTTGTCCAATGCATTAAACCGGTAGTAGAGGGTTTTGTCCAATGCATTAAACCGGTAGTAGAGGGTTTTGACCAATACATTAAACCGGTAGTAGAGGGTTTTGACCAATACATTAAACCGGTGATGAGCGTTTTGTCCACTACATTAAACCGGTGATGAGAGTTTTGTCCACTACATTAAACCGGTAGTAGAGGGTTTTGACCAATACATTAAACCGGTAGTAGAGGGTATTTTTGTCCATGCATCACCTAACCTAACCTAACCTCACTGTTCTTGTTTCTCCCTCAACAGACAACTGCCCGTACACGCAGGGCTACAAGTGTACCAACGGCGCCTGTCTGGACGGTCTCTGTCACTGTAATGATGGTTACGGTGGCTGCGGCTGTGAATCACCAGGTGAGTAGTTAACCACCCTTTTACCCCTCCCCCCCTCCTTGTTTCAGGTCTTCTAGTGGTAGTTGGATAATTGGTTTCTGTTCGTTTATTATTTTTTACTTGGTCTGATTAGTACTTTTATATTGGTGTGTTAGGTTAGGTTAGGTTAGGTTAGGCTAAGTTGGGTTAGGTTGGGTTAAAGTGTGAGATAAAGTAGGATTAGGTTAAGTTGGATTAAGTGGGTTAAGTAGGATTCGGTTGGATTGGATTAGGTTAGATTAGATTGGGTTCCATTAGGTTAGGTTAGGTTAAGTTAGGTTAGGTTAAGTTAGGTTAGGTTAAGTTAGGTTAGGTTAGATTACATTGGGTTCCATTAGGTTAGGTTAGGTTAAGTTAGGTTAGGTTAGGTTAGATTGGGTTAGGTTAGGTTAGGTTAGATTGGGTTAGGTTAGGTTAGGTCGTAATTGTCTTGTTGTCGGGCGAGTGTACAGTAGGTGCCAATTAGTGTATTTTTCCCGCTGTTATTATAAGTATTTCTCTTCAAGGTATTGCTTATCCAATACTTATATGTAAATTAAGTTTTCCTGAGATAACTATTTATAAGTATGTAAGTGTGGGTATTATTATTAATTTACATATCTTCAACTGTTTTAACAACTTGAGAAATGTGTTTTTTTTTACGAATTTACCCACGTTTACACATTAATTAAATCTTACTTCCATTTACACATTAATTAAATCTTACTTCCATTTACACATTAATTAAATCTTACTTCCATTTACACATTAATTAAATCTTACTTCCATTTACACATTAATTAAATCTTACTTCCATTTACACATTAATTAAATCTTACTTCCATTTACACATTAATTAAATCTTACTTCCATTTACACATTAATTAAATCTTACTTCCATTTACACATTAATTAAATCTTACTTCCATTTACACATTAATTAAATCTTACTTACATTTACACATTAATAACATAGATGTCAGTTTCCTACATTTATTTACATTTATTTACATTTACCCCTGAGTTGTCCAGCTGGGGTCGTCGTTACACTGGTCCTTACCGTTATGTGAGTCCTGTGAGGTGATATATGAACCTTGGGGAGTTACCACAGTCATATATACCTTAGGACCTTACCATCACCCACCACCTCCCTCCCTTACCCTCTCCCTTACCCCCATCCCTCACCCCTCCCTCCCTCCCTTACCCCTCCCTCCCTCCCTTACCCCTCCCTCCCTCCCTTACCCCTCCCTCACCTCCTTCATTTACCTCACCCACGCCCCTCACCTTCCCTCACCCCCTCCCTCCCCTCCACCACGCCCCCCTCACCTTCTCACCACTCCCTCCCTTCCCCCCCCCCTCGCCCCTCACCTTCCCTCACCCCGCCCTCACCTCCTCTTACGCCCCTCACCTCCCTCACCCACGCCCCTCCCCACCTCCCTCACCCGCCCCTCACCTCCCTCACCCACGCCCCTCCTTCCCTCTACCCGCCCCTCACCTCCCCTCACCCCACGCCCCTCACCTTCCCTCACCACGCCCTCCCCCACCTTCCCTCTTACCCGCCCCCTCACCTCCCTCACCCCGCCCCTCACCTCCCTCACCCCACGCCCCTCACCTCCCTCACCCCACGCCCCCTCACACCTCCCTCACCCCGCCCCTCTCCTCACCCCGCCCCCTCTCCACCTCCCTCACCCACGCCCTCTGCCTCCCTCACCCCGCCCCTCACCTCCTCACCCCACGCCCCCCTCCACCTCCTCCACCCCACGCCCCTCCCTCCCTCACCCACCCCCCCCTCCCACCTCCCTCACCCACGCCCCCCTCACCTCCCTCTTACGCCTCTCACCTTCCCTCACCCACACCCCTCACCTCCCTCACCCCACGCCTCTCCCTCCCTCACCCCGCCCCCTCACCCACGCCCCCCCTCCCCCCTCACTTACCTCCTGCCCAACTGGTAAAGATATTTATACCTGTACCTGTAGTAATTAACACCGGCCATTGCCTCTCCCGTGTCCTTGTCTCTGTTACCTGGGTATTGTACCAGGTGAATGACCCTCCCGATGGTGGTAGTAGGGGGGGTGGTAGTGGTGGTGGTAGATGTGATGGTGATAGGGTGGGTGGGTGGTGGTGGTAGTAGCCTCAGTTATGGTGGTAGTGGTGGTGGTAGCTATAGTTCTGGAGGTGTGGCAGTAGAAGCAGTCATAGGGATGGTGGTAGTGGTAGTTGTACTGGTAGTGGGACAACAACTATCATTGCTGCGGGGGGAACAACTCACTACTATACCACACTCACCCACCTACTGTTGTTCCACCCACCTGTTACTAGCGTTAATATTACTACTGTTACATGTCGTACGTTACTACCACACACTGTCACGTACCTCCTGTTACTACCGCAATCTGTCACACTGTAGGACTGATAATAGCGTTACTCGTACCACCGTTAATATTAATAGTACTCCTATTATCGTTACTAGTATTACTCTTATCGTTACTAGTATTACTCTTATCGTTACTAGTATTACTCTTATCGTTACTAGTATTACTCTTATCGTTACTAGTATTGCAATTAATATTATTAGTACCCATTTATTTGCATGTACTGCTATTAAAGTCACTAGTACTACTATTATCGTTACTATTGTCACTTGTCAGGCGAGGTGTAAGGTGTGTGAAGTGTGTGTGGTTCAGCACACACACACACACACACACACACACACACACACACACACACACACACACGGGTATAATATTCACTTTTCTTCCCTGTTACTTTAGTTTCCATTCTCTTTATTATTTTTCCTCATTTTCCTCCTTTCCTCTGTTTGTGCTCTCACCTCACGTCTCTTAAGGTCTGTTTGTGCAATACATCCTGTAGGGCGGCGTTTGTGTGTTTGTGTACATATAGTAATGGTTCACATCCGGTAAGGGGTGTGGGGATGTATTGTGACTGACAGAATACATTCACATGAGATCTATCTCTGCCTCCCACCCACTTAATCCCCCACCCACTTATCTTCCCCCACCCTTAAAGCCCCCACCCACTTATGTTCCCCCACCCACTAAGGCTTCCCCACCACTAAGGCTCCCCCCCCCACTTGATCTTCCCACCCCTCATATCTTCCCCACCTAAACACCCTAGGCTCCCCACCCACCTAAGGCTCACACCTAGCTCCCCACCTAAAGGCTCCCCCACCCACTTGTATCTTCCCCCACCTAAGGCCCCCCCACCCCGTCTTACCCCAACCACCGGCTTCCCCCACCCCACCCCCACCCTTGCTCACCACCTAGGCTCCCCACCTGGCTCCCCACCACCTAAGGCTCCCCCACCCCTAGGCTTCCCCACCACCTAGGCTCCCCACCCTTTTCCCCTTATCTTCCCCCACCCAGGCTTCCCTAAGGCTCCCCCACCCACCTAACCCCCACCCACCACCCCCCCCCCACCCCTCCCCCACCCCCCCACCCCAGGCTCCCCCACCCCACCCCCCCCCGGCTCCCCCACCTACCCCCACCCACCTACATCTTCACTATATTTTGGGTCTTATGCACCTTTGGCCTAGAGGTCGAAATAGGAGGGTAATGGCGATAGTAATAATAATAATAATAGCAATTATAGTAATAATGATAATAGTTGGTAGTAGACGTGATGATGATGATGATGATGATGATGATGATGATGATGATGATGATGATGATGATGATGATGATGATACCTTTGTATTGGTGATGAGAATGGTAATATTGGTTCAAATATTATTGTTAATATTATCATCATTGGAATTATTATTATTATTATTATTATTATTATTATTATTATTATTATTATTATTTATTGTTGTTGTAGTTGTTATAAATGACATCATCGCCAGGGTGGGTGTTGAAACCGGCTGGTGTAGTTGTTCGCCTGGCGTTCACAAGTAGTGCATGACATTCTTGTGGGGAGCAGTTTAGCTTCCACACGTTCACTCATCCTCCAGGGGTCCTCCTCCAGGGTGGCTCGACCTTCTTGGAGGACCACCTTGTGTGTCACTGTTACCCTCGAGTCTGTAGTCAAGATATCCTCAAGTAGTAGTAGTAGTAGTAGTAGTAGTAGTAGTAGTAGGAGTTCAATCCATATTTGTGTCGTGGCTTAGTGGGGTCAAATCGATGAGTTATGACGTCACTAATCCAGGGGGTGGATTAGTGACGTCATAACTCATTGAACTGACCCACTTAAGCTGCGAGACAAATATGGATTTTTCTCGTAAATTTCGTGAGGTAATTCTCCCCTGTTGAGTGACGTAAGCAAAGATCTGATTGGTTGGAGTGACGTAAGCAAAGATCTGATTGGTTGATGTGAGGTGTGACGTAAGTGTGGCGGCCAAAAACAAAATGGCGTCTATATTGTACTGAGACTCTACCATAAGTCTTCTCACTGTATGTCCAGAAATTGAGGGATGAGGAAGTGAGAGAGGGAGGAGGATGAGAGGGAAGGATGGTCAGGTGAGGAGGAGGATGAATCAGGTGGGAGGAGAGATGAGGCAGGTGGGAGAACAGGAGAAGTGGTGAGGTGAAGTGAAAAGACGTGGTGTGAGGTACGTGGAATTCGTGGGCTTGTGCTGGCAGACCATGACCGCAGGCGGACGTTCTTGCCGCAGCCATGGCAAATTACTGAGGGAGGGAGGTGAGGAAAACTAGCCTTAAGAAATATGCCAAGAAATGTGGGACACCTTTGTTGTTGTTGTTCACAGGTGCTTTAGATGGCCTGCACACCTGTTGGCCCGTGCACCTGTTGGCCAGTACACCTGTTGCCCAAGTACCTCTGTGTACATGCACTTATCTCTGAACCTGTCTACCTACTTAATTACTGACCCACGTTTGCACCTGTCCATCTGCCCACCAACCTACTTGTTCCATTGCCCACGTTCCCCCTTACCCAGATGGTCACCCACCTGACACCAGCTGCGGTATAACACTGGATCATGGTTAGGTTAGGTTAGGGGTGATGTACCTCTTGGCGCCTGGTCACTACACCTGTAATTAAGGCGCCATGGTCACCTCACACTCTTATTTCTACCACAAAAAGAGTACCACTGTAGGCTGGCGGCGGGTGAATGATAAGGCTGTGTGGTTGCCAGAGAGTTTGTCATCATGATGTTGTTGACCATAAGAGGAGACCCCGGGGTGCAGGTAACGTTGGTCCCGGCTCCAACCCACTACCGAACCCCTGAACCCCGTAACTCCTCAACTTTAAACCCATGAACCCACTACTGAACCCCGTAACTCCTCAACTTTTAACCCATGAACCCACTACTGAACCCCATAACTCCTCAGCCTTGAACCCCTGAACCCCATAACTCCTCAGCCTTAAACCCATGAACCCACTACTGAACCCCATAACTCCTCAACTTTAAACCCATGAACCCCATAACTCCTCAACTTTAAACCCATGAACCCACTACTGAACCCCTATAGCCACAGGGGTTCAGTTGGGGGTTCGTGGGTTTTAGACATGAGTGATGACGTTACACCGTGGCACAGGTGTTCCTACAAGGGGCAATTACGTTCCTTAAGCGTAGCGGTGACGTTCTGGAGTCCGACTCACGTTCCGCGGGTGGAGTGACTAGTGAGCGTGGAGTGAAGACGAGAGTAGCGTTCCACAGTGACCACGACGATCAGGGGTTGAGGTTACGTTCCTGGAGTGTGGCGACATTCTACACACGTTCCACTACTGAAGGAATAGGTGAAGGTTGGGGTGAATATGAGTGGAACGTTGTTAGAGCGTGGTTATGTTCTGCAGACGTTCCACTACTGAAGGTGAGAGTAAGGTGGGAAGGGCGGTGGCGTGGCGGAGGTTCATCAACACTTGTACACTATGCTTCACTACCTGTGGGTGGGGCGGGGGGAAGACTTCCTGTCCAGGGGAGAGGTGGTCGACCAAAACCCTCTTGTGGTAGGTTGAGGGAGGGAGGGAGGGACGGAGGGAAGGACTCGCAGGAAGGAAAGGAGGAAGGAGGTGATTTCCTCCGGTGGGGAAAGTCACAAGGAATCCCGACTTCTCTTGTGGTGAAATTGGGGAAAATTAGGGAAATACTCCCTCTTATGGGGAAGGAGGTGATGGAGAGACACCTTCACGGTTGGTGGCGAGGGAAGGAGTCGCGAAGGAGGCGGGGGGGGGGGGTGAATTGCATAGAAGGAGGTATGGGGAAGGATGTTTAAGGAACTCATGTGTAGGACTCCCACACATCCTTGGGTGAGGACCACTGCCCCAGGTGGAACTCCTATAGATATAAACAAACACAAACTTACAGTAAATAATGTCTGGGTCACAGGAGACTCATACACCATGTCTGACGAGTGAACCAACCTGACCTAACTTAAGGCACCGAATGATCTTGTTGTGTTTTGGTTTTTCATTAGCTTAGGTTGTATTGGTTAGGTTAAGTTGGATAGGTTAGGTTAGGTTGGGGAGGTTTAAGCTAGGTTGGGTAGGTTAAATTATGTATGGTAGGTTAGGTTAAGTTTGGCAGGTAATGTTACGTAAGAATGGATGAAACTGCAGCCGGCCATACTGGGCAGTCCCGTTTACACCCAACCACTATTGCTCATATCCACCCAACCTACTGTATGTTTCAAGCTATCCAGCGAATTCGAGTTAATGATGATATTTGGTAACTTGTTCCACTCATCCACTACTCTGTTTCCAAACCAATGTTTACCTATTTCAAGCCTAAATCTAAATTTGTCTAATTTAAAACCATTGTTACGAGTTCGCTCCTGGTTGGATAGTTTGAGTACCTTTGTAATATCACTTTGCTTAACCCTGACCTCCACCTGATGCATCCTTGACCCCACCCACCCAGAGACCCGTGACCTGGTGCCCACAACTTGTCTCACCCTCCCCCCCCTCTTACCCGTGACCTGGTGCCCACAACTTGTCTCACCCTCCCCCCCCTCTTACCCGTGACCTGGTGCCCACACCCTCTCTCCCCCCCTCTTACCCGTGACCTGGTGCCCACAACTTGTCTCACCCTCCCCCTCTTCTCCCCCACAGATGAGAACGAGTGCAAGTACCGGCCGTGTGACGTGTTCGCCTCGTGCACCAACACCCTCGGCTCCTTCTACTGCACCTGTTTCCCGGGTTACGAGGGTGACGGCTTCTCCTGCTCCGGTGAGTACCCCTCATGATCTTACCTGGGTGTTAATTAATGGTCTCTACCGATGTGTTTACCTGGGTGTTAATTAGTTCACTCTACCTGTGTGTTAATTTACTCTACCTGGATGTTAATTAATTCACTCTACCTGGATGTTAATTAATTCACTTTACCTGGATGTTAATTAATTCACTTTACCTGGATGTTAATTAATTCACTCTACCTGGATGTTAATTAATTCACTCTACCTGGATGTTAATTAATTCACTCTACCTGGATGTTAATTAATTCACTCTACCTGGATGTTAATTAATTCACTCTACCTGGATGTTAATTAATTCACTACCTGGATGTTAATTAATTCACTTTACCTGGATGTTAATTAATTCACTCTACCTGGATGTTAATTAATTCACTCTACCTGGATGTTAATTAATTCATTCTATCTGGATGATAATTAGTTCACTCTACCTGGTATCTGGGTATTAATTAATTATCACCACCTGCGTGTTTACCTGGATGTAATTAGCTCACTCTACCTGGTACCTGGGTGTTAATTAGTACAATCTACCTGTGGGTTTACCTGGATGTTAATTAGTTCACTCTACCTGGGTTGTCATCTCGTACACGTCTTACCCTGTGTGTGTGTGTGTGTGTGTGTGTGTGTGTGTGTGTGTGTGTGTGTGTGTGTGTGTGTGTCAGTCATTACCGTGTCCTTGTACACACCTGTCGTCTTCCTCAAGGTCAGCCCAATTACCTGCATTTATTCTTTTATTTTCCACCCCACGACTTATGTAGTTGATGCTATTGATTACTAGTGATTTGTGATTTTTTTTTGTCTTAACTAGCCACAGATTACTATATTAAATAGATGTTATCGAGTAAGATCATGCATTATATATCTGCTTCTATTTCTAGGCTGTATGTGTTTTGTTTGGGGTAAATTTCCTGTTGTGATTTTTGCTACTTGGGATATTTTTTTTCTCTCCTCGGTTATTGCGTCCAGAGGGGTTTTGTCCGGGAGGTTATATTTTACGGTTAAGGAATTGTCCAGAGGGGTTTTGTCCGGGAGGTTATATTTTACGGTTAAGGAATTGTCCAGAGGGGTTTTGTCCGGGAGGTTATATTTTACGGTTAAGGAATTGTCCAGAGGGGTTTTGTCCGGGAAGTTATATTTTACGGTTAAGGAATTGTCCAGAGGTATTTGGATTATTGGTTAATTATCCAATAGTATTCTAGTTTGTTTTGGGTAATTTGTCCAGTGGGATTTAGTCCAGATGAGGGGGTGTGGTCTTTTAGGTATGACAAGACGTGTCCTCGACCTGGTGTTAACTCAAGGGAAATGGAGGGAGGTGTGGGGGGGGGGGCGTCGTGAATCAGCCCCACCCACCCCATCCACTCGCCTACCCCATGCACCACCATTACCCGCCCACCCACCCACCCGCCCACCCCTGTCTCCCTTAAACGGCACCTTAGCTCAAGGGGAACATGTTAATGGTAGGTTATGTGTGTGTGTGTATTGGTCACTTTCATTCCTATAGCCTAGTCTAACTGAACCTAGTCTAGCCTATCCTATCTTAACTAGCTTAAACTAACCTAATCTAGCCTCACCTAGCTTGACTTAATCTAGCCTAGCCACTGCGACCTACAGATAGCCTAACCTAGTGGTATTTTGTCCACTAATGTTTTGTCCAGCGTGAAACTGCGTGATATGATTTGTCCACTTGTGGGTAGGTGTCACCGTGTCATGGCGGAAGTGACCATTTACTCTGTCTCATTAGGGGTAATAGCCTATTTTTTGTCGACACGTCTCACGCGGTCATAAAAAGGTAAACTTCAGTGTCCCAGCAGTGTTGGTGGTGGGTAATGTGGCTATTTCATGTTTATTATTATTTGTATTATGGTAGAGATGACGACCATATTTATTTTATTTATAAGTTTTGATAAAGATCTTTTTTTAAATAGGGAAATTCGTCCTTGTTATTTAGGATAAGAGTCACACAAACACCTAATTTATTTTAACTGTTTTTTTCCGGGAAGTGACAGGTGTCCCGTTTTAGTTGTAGGGGTAACGAGGTTATTTTTTTTCTCTTATGTCCGACACGCGTTGACAAGATCGTTAAGTTAAAAGTGAAACCCGCGGGTGTCATTCATGAGGCTGTTAAGTAGGGTGATAAAGTGACGTCAGGAGGCGACAGGTAAAGGGCAGGTGAGCGAGTTTCCGTAAATTGTGTTGGGGCGGTGGTGGTGGTGAAGCCTTTAACCTTTCTTCCCGCCATAACTAGTAAAGTCAGGGCTGCCAACCTCACCTCACCCCGCCCGCCCTCCACCACCACCACCCCCAACCTCACCTCACCCCGCCCGCCCTCCACCACCCCCGGGCTGCCTCTCTGTTTGTGTACATATTTGCATCTTGTTATCAGTTTATATTTTTAATAGCCTTAATAAACCACAGAGAGATTATAGAATCAACTTTGATATTTGTTGAAGTTGACGATTTGTTGCTGCGAGGATTAGTGTGTGGACAGACATTCGGAAAACTATGTCAGTTAGGTCAGGAGAGGCGGGCGTCGGGCTGGGTATACTGTAGATGCAGGGAATATATACCACATCCTGATATATATACCATCAAGTCACATATTCTCAAGGACCGTATGCTAAAAGAAGCCAGAGAATAGTGAAGTATACTGACTCATCTGACTCGCCTATGACACAACACTGACAGTGAAAATGGCGTCAAAGTTGCGCTGAGATTCGAGTACAATATAATATAGTTACGTTCGTTTAGTCACGTTTAAGGAGAAAAATAACGAACGAATTTTAAAGAGAATAACCTTTAGATAGATACGTTATTGGAGACATGACAAACAAGATAGTAACTGATAGGAGATTGTTGACAGCCTCCAGGGTTTAACTCTCCCACTCTCGGCTTTATTCAACAACACATATCCAGAAATTTTTTACATATAAACTTGCATGTGACAGTTAATCGTCATATTGTTACATTGGTATTTTTTATATATATATTGTAGCTTAGTTTTATCTGAATCGAATGAAATGGGGAAAAATATAAATTGAAGTCGGTGAAGGACAGTCAGGTGGCGGGATGTGACAGTCATATTTACGGCTATCAGTAGGGGGGGGGGGAATTAACTGGTTGTTGCTGCTTGTAACTGTACGTGTAGGATGATATTAATGTTCGTGCTTAGTCGAGTATCAGTTTATATTAACTTAAAAGATATGTAGATTTCAAACCTAAACCAACATTGATATATAATACAAAACCATTTAGGTAATGGAGATGAAGGTGTGTACAGGACTTGACTTTCTGATGATGAACTCATGTTATATTTATCAACGTGACGAGGCTTTAATCTGAAGTGACTCGGCGGTGCTCCAGGAAGATTTTTCGCGATTATAAACAATATATTCAGTGCCCGGCCGCCGCCAGTACCCAACATGAGGCTTGTGATAGTTTATGGAGATGTTGCAATGTTCAGGAACTTCCTTACATCGGTTGTTGGGGTTAGGTTAGGTTTTAGGAAATGTCTTCTTGTAATTACCTGTCAAAATATTTCCTGCATCTAACAGTCATGGAAGAATTTGTTCATATCTACTGTAAGTGGATAAGCACGATAGAATTTTGATGGTGATTGACAGAACAGTCTTGGTTCTAGGACAAAATTCCTCTGTACCGGAACTAACTTAACCAGCCATTACCCAACACGGTGTTAGGAGTTAAGAGAAGCTTTACTTGGGATGATGTCGTGTTAGGAAGTGTGACCCTGTACGTGCCCTGATATCTGGTGATGCGGGTTGTGGAAATAGTTTAGGTGTACAGAAGAGAAGACAGTGTACCGTTATATGTACATCACGACATCTTCCTCCTCCTCGACCTGCCCGCCCACCCAACAGTCACTAGTTCCACCATCTGCCGCTGAGCTTGGTGGCGCTCTTGTCGCTCTAACTGCCCACATATCTCGCTCCTTGGGGCGCCGATGTGGCCGCACGATATGTTTTAATGGCGATTCACAGTCAGGATGAAGCGTCCACGAATCCTCACTCGCTCATGGAAGATGTTGGGCTCTCATTGGTCGAGGGTACCAACTCGTACCATAGTCACACGCTCATTGGCTACGGGTGACCAGCGCCGCGATTTCATTGGTGGAGGAGTCTCACTTGACCTTTGACACTAAGCATAAGCAACCATTTTTTTGTCTTGGCCCATTTTTGTGGTACTATCCCCCTAAAATACCTTTCCTGGAGGTTGTGTGGCCCAGCGATGAATGTGGCCAGCCATGTGTGGGTGACCATAAGGGCGGGAGGAATGCGGATTAAGGGTCAGTACAATAAACGAATGGCAAAACATGATTGGTTAGGAGGAGAGTGTCAGCGTTTGTGAAAATGTGACGTCATGCCTAGTTGGCCTTGTGATTGGTTAGTGTAGCTGTGATGTAATATATCTGATAACGTCATGCCCGGTATTAGTTATCTGATTGGTAACTGTATCTGTGATGTCATGTTATCCGATGACGTCACGTGTATATTTGATTTATTACATAATATTTCACAATGATGTTATGGCAGCAAACATTCAAGCTGATTGGTTGATAGAACTCCACTACAGGTGTTTTGTGACGTCATGCATGGTTAACTAGTATTCTGTATGGCTGTTGATGTAATGATGTAATGTTTTGTGACGTCATGCATGGTTAACTAGTATTCTGTATGGCTGTTGATGTAATGATGTAATGTTTTGTGAAGGCGTCATAGGCTGGTGCGCTCACTCTCACGTTACCGTCTCAATAGCCTTAATTTTCCCCGCCAACAACTTCATTCAGGGAAATAATTGGTTTATTGATAACAAGGCGTCATGTGGCTCGGTCCAGGGTGCTGTACACTATATTATTATTATTATTATTATTATTATTATTATTATTATTATTATTATGAGATAGTGAGAGGCAGGGGAGGCTGAGGGGCAGGGGAGAGGTACTGAGAGGCAGGGGGGAGGTAC